GACAGCTTTGTTCAGGCAGCTGCACCATGTTCAGTTCAGCAAGCTGCTGAGTTGACCTGTGTTCTGTTTTATGTTAATAAACCCCTTCTGTCATGGAGCTGCCAGTGGATAATCACCTTTTTCCTGCCTGTGCCTTGCTGCACCATAAGTGACCAGCCTTTACTGTACAAACCAGCTGTTCAACAAGCTGAAAGGTGAAGAAAAGCGATGTTTTCAGCTGCTCCCATCCACTGCCGTATGTCTTCCACATCAGCAAGGCTACAGTAAAGCTATACAAGTTAAAACAGAAGCTGTTTGTATGCAGATAAAAAACGATATAATCGATAAAATACCCGATTACTAAAATAATCAATAGCTGCAGCCCAACTATTAACATCGGCATGTACTGTATATAAATTGTTCTGAGAAAGGGGCATGTGGCTGTGATAAACATTGTTTTTAGCGTACAGTAGACCCCTGGGCTTCAGCCTGGACAAGCCTGTGCATTGAAGTGTCCCTGTGCAGCCCTTATCAAAACATGACAGCTGAAATGTCTTAATAATATCAGCTTTGTGCTCAAATCAAGTGGATAATCTTACCATCTTACTCTCATATGAGACATATGAGAGTAATTTAAATAATAATTTAAATGACATTTATTTATTGAATACTGTCACAAAACACCCTCCATAACTTTGGGCTTGTTTTTCTGTGAAGTCAATTACAAATATTATATTGCAGGTTGCAGTGTTTCTGGCTTGTTTCTATAGTATAGTCCTTATTTGGGCTTGCTCCCATCTCCTGTCTCTGTCCACTATGTCTGTCTAATAAAGCGAAACGGCCGAGTTTGTCCTGTTTCAGGATCCCATTCCTGCCACTTCTCTCCTTCCCCATACAAATAAAAACAAATCAAAATCGCATGACTGATGGACTTTCTTTAGCTAGTTTATTAACAATCAGGCCCAGATCTAGACTGCTTAGATTGGGGGGCAGTTTGAAATTTTGGGTGGGCAGCATTTCACACATTGGACTATAATACAGTGCAGTAGTGCAGTACGGAAGGTGTAACATTACTGCCTGAACTGCCCGCAGTAACAGCCCACTTGGTTCAAAGGCACCAGTCCTGAAGCTTGGTCATTCAAGCTAAGAGCAGCAGTAACTGAGCTGCTGGTAGCAATCTCTGATTTGGGAACCAGAAATTGTTGCATGTTGTTTATGGTTGTGTATGACTAATTTAGGAGAATTTTAGCACGTAATAAATCTAACCAGGTAACTTTATTTACACTGAGTGCTGACAGGGTTGGTGAGACCACAGTTACCAAATCAGCTGATATGGGGGTTCCACTGTACTGTTCTAGTGAGCTTCCTAGCCAACAGTAATATTAGCTAACTAACTATCTAAGAGTTAAATCAGTACTAGCAAAGACCCTTATTCAACAAAACATTACAGCAAACTACAGCAACAAAAGATACACTTTAACAAGAAGGAGCTTTAATAAGAATAGGGTAACATTCCTACAGTACTTAATTTTCACAGGTGAGTACAAAAGCTCCGCAAAAGAATATCTGATGAGCCAAATGAAATAAACGTGATTGGCAGATTCAGATGGCGCAGGCTAAAGCTGACCAATTGAGTGGGCAGAGCAGAAATTTGGGTGGGCATTGCCCACCCCTGCCCACTTCTAGATCCAGTTGAAGTATCTTGGGGTCTTGTTCATGAGTAAGGGAAGAAGGGAGTGGGAAATCGGTAGACAGATCGGTGCAGCGTTGGGCTCAGCCTTAGCGATAGGGTGAGGAGCTCAGACATTCAGGAGGGGCTCAAAGTAGAATCGATGCCCCTCCACATTGAAAGGAGCCAGCTGAGGTGGTTTGGGCATCTATCTAGGATGCCTCCTGGATGCCTCCCTGGGGAGGTGTTTTGGGCACATCCAGCCGGGAGGAGACCCTGAGGCAGACCCAGGACACGCTGGAGAGATTATACTGTACCTCTACTGTAGGCTGGCCGGGAAACGCCTTGGTATTCCCCCAGAGGAGCTGGAAGAGGTGGCTGGGAAGACGGAGGTCTGGGCATCCCTGCTTAGACTGCTGGCTCTGTGATCTGATCCCAGATAAGCAGCAGAGGATGGATGGATGGATGGATGTCTATTTACTTGTACTTTGTACAGTGACAATAAAGTTGAATCTAATGTGTTGTAATCTAATCCAGTTTAAACTCAGTCTGTGTTGTATCTCTGTG